ATTCTCACCGAGCCTACATTAACAGAAGACGTTTTGATATAACTGTGAATAATGATTGATTTGACTAACATAGCATAGCATCTAAACAACAGTAACAGATTAATCTAAAATAAAAATACAACAAATGTGCACAGATGTTGCTGATGAAGGAGAACAGAGAATGTCAACAACATTATTAATGATTATTCCTCCACCTTAATGGCTCTTTAGCCTTTTTACTTCATGTATGATCTTTGTCCTAGATGCTCGATGCAGTAAAGGTCGACGCTTGAAGAAAAAACTGTGATAGTGTGGTGCCCAACCCTACCACTAGTTTTGTTGTTTCAGTTGTAATGACCATCAATATAAGTTTTCTTCTCTTTAAAGGACTATAACTACAGTAAATATTACTGGAAATGTTTAACTAGGAATCCTAAAGGTAGAATAGAGTGGATGTACAATTACAACATACTGCATTTTGGTCATCTGTAGGAACTATGCCCTTTACCAGCAGACAATACATCTGGGAGGTGACATTCATGTCAGCTCAAAATCAGGAAATGAAAGAAGGGATTAAGTGGTTGAGGTGTAAAGTCACTCATTTTTTAAATTGTTGATAATATTTTGTATGTAGAGAAAACATTCTTAGTCTGGTAGTGTAATATGCATTTTAGTCCTTGTTCCAATAAAGAGAATGAAAACTTATTTTTCATGATCATTTTATAATATGGCAAAAGAAAAAAACAAACATAATGCAGGAGTTTTGCATTTGATTGTATGTGACTTGATTCAAAGGCTAGGTGATGCTAAATTTGAGGATTTAAAAAATATTAAAACATTGTGTGAGATGATGGTGAATTTGATCTCTATCTTCTAGGCTCTGTGGCACTAAGAAACCTATTATATATAAGAAAAATGTAAATATAATAAATTAATCACATTTCTTTGTTCTCCAGAATCCTCTGTGTACAACGCAACCACTGTCACTCACCTGTACATTGAAGAAAATAAGTTGTAAATGGTGTCAATAACAAGATTTTTCTTTTGTAAAAGAATGGTTTTAATAAGAGGTTTACGGTAACACTATATTTTCTTTTCCCTGTTTAATTTCTGATGTACATGAAAAGATGTGTAATATAGAGATGTCACCTTAATAAATTAAATAAAAAATAAGCCTGTGTGTTTGTGACACGGATGAAGTGACGAGAAACGTGGTGGTGTGTTCAGTGTTGTATCAAAATGAGCCTTTTGGGCTTTAATTAGCCTGGAGGTAAGTACATCTTGGCTAACTCTATTAAAAAATGTTTTAAAACAATTTGAACCTGTATTTGATATACCTTGTACTTGGCTATTTTAATCCTTACATTGTAAGGATAGGAATACATAAAGTTTAGCAACTACACCTTTTCTAGTTTGCTTAAGGTTATGTAGTGCAAATTTCAAGTTTTGCAAAGAAAGTTATGTTAGCTTTAATGGCCCAAAAATTCTCTGTTACCATAAAGAATTTACAAGAGAAACCTTTAAAGTATTCTTATTAGATATATGGCTAGGACTTAGCAACAGCTGTCAACCAAAGTGGTGTAATGGCTTTTTTTGATAATGTGAAATAATATGACCTATCCTAATAATTATTTTGTTATTCCTGCTAAAACCTAGCCCTCAAAATGCCAGAAGTAGTCAAAAAAGTAGGCAACATGTTTTCTTAACTTTAGCTCCTAGAGCTAACTTAGCTGGAGAGAATGTAATGATAGAAAATACAGTTAACAACATTTAAAGAATTGTCGCCAAAAGATATCTACACTGATCAAAAATATTCTGTTATAAAAACTTCATGTCCAGCCATGTTTTTAACTGTAAGTCCTTCAAAAGTGCTAATGTTTATTGGAAAAAAAAGAAAACATCAAATGTTATTTGGTTTATATATAAAACAAATGTAAAATAACAGAAAATAAATATTTCACAATAATAATTTAGACTGAAATATTGTTCAATAATTACACTATACAAATGTACCATAAATATAGTCATGTAATTTACATTAACAATAGTAAAACAATTCTTTCTTTTTTTACACTGAAATTAAAAGGCTGTTAGTTGTTAAAACAGATATTTTGTCTTTAAATAAATAAAGTTCCTTGTTGGGAAATGTTCAAAGTATGAACTGTGTAAACTACAAACATGGCTGCTACAAACAGCTCTGGCTCTGAATCTGCTCCAGTGCCTCACAGTCATGTTCTAAGTCCTCTTCCTCATCCTCCTCCCTCACGGTCTGCTCATCCATGTTGGAAATAGACATCACAGCCTGACAACCCTCTTGCGTCCTCCTCCGTTCTCCTTCCTTCTCCTCACATCCTGCCTCCTGGTCTCTGCTTCCCTGTGAGATTCCATTCTCCTCTTCATCAGCTCCTGGCCTTTTGGCTCCTCTAATAAACCTATGACTCCCTCCATTTTCCTCCTCCATATCTTGACCCTCTACTGAAGACACTCCTGTGACCTCACCTCCCTTTGACCCTCCACCTGCACCTCCTTCACTTCCTCTGGCACCAGCTACTGCAGGGCATTTGTGGTCTCTGTAGTAGCTCTGTCTGGTGAAGCCCTTGTTGCAGGCGGAACATCTGAAGCGGTAGTTGTCTGTGTGGGACTGCTGATGCTCCAGCATGTGAGCTTTGCGGCTGAATGTCTTCTGACAGTACAGACACTTAAAGGGTTTGCTTCCTGGAGTAATGGCAAACAATTTCTTGATTTTTCTTGATTTTTATCCAAAATCGCAGACACAGTTTGTCTTTCAACAATGAATTGTAACTTACTGTACGGTTCATTTTCAGATTTTGGGTTTCTCACTCACCAGAATGTGACAGGATGTGAGCCTTGAGTTTGTCTGGTCTGTTGAATTCCTTGGTGCAGCCCACATGTGTTCTGGTGATTAAATGTGGGAGTTAACATAGAACTTTATACAGGGAAAATGTAGCAATAAGAACAAATGTAGAGAAGATGATGGGATGTGTCCTGTAGTCCTGTATCATAGTCCTCACCTGAAAGGACACTTGTATTTCTTGTAGGGTTCGTGAATGAGCATGTGCCTCTTCACTTTGTCCTTCCTATTGAACGTGGCCTCACACAGGGAGCACTTGAATGGCTTCTCACCTGCAGAAAAAATTCAGCCAATGTAACAGAACCTAACACTTTAGGTTCATTAACTTTTATTAAAGTCACTTATTGGTTTAAACAGTGACATTCGGTTTTGTCTCAAGAATCTCTGATACCTGAGTGAATGCGAGTGTGCAGTTTGAGGTAGTGGTCTGTCTTGAAAGCCTTCTTACAGGTTTGACATTTAAACCTTCCCCCAGCTCCGTGCGTTGGGAGGTGGCGCCTGAAGTACCGTTCACATGGAAAAACCTGGAGAACAAGAAGAGTTCAAGTCACACTTCAGATTTGAACAGAATTAAGATGAGCATCTCTGCATTAGTGTGTATTTTACCTTTTGACAGTGTGGACAGGGGAAGTTGTGTGAGGCAGTCAGCAGATGTTGTTCCAGGGCCTCCTGGGTAGAATATCTGCTCTGACACTTCACACACCTGATGAGAAATGAGGAGACAACAGATGAGAAAAGAGGTTGACACAACATCATTACTCATCACGAGTTCCTGCACCATTTCCTTCACTTAATGCTTCCTAAATGATGCGCTTTATTACAGCTGTAGCTCCAAACTGAAGCTTTGAGAGTAATGGTGAAGAAACTGAAGTAAAACATGCAGTTATGTGAGACAGAGGTGAACGTAGGACCTGACCTGTAGACTGCGCTCTCCTTGCGTGTGTTTTGCTGTGGGCAGAAACTGTGTGAGTACTGATGGACACCCAGTTCAAACAGTGAGGGAAACACTTTGCTGCAGAGGTGGCAGCGGTACGTCAGCTGTTCCTGGTGTGTCCTAATATGCTCCAAGAACTGATCCAACTTCTGGAAAGTCTGAGAGCAGGACTTTAACACACACTTGTAGACCTGCAGGGAGAGACATAGATATGTAGCTCTGTTTCTAGGATTTATTTTTGGGCAGCAGTTTTCTCCCTTCTCTTTGTATGCGGTCATTCTGTGTTTTTACCTGCTCTCCTTTATGCTGAGTGAGATGGGACTTGAGCTGGAAGTAGGTTTTGAACTTGCAGGCACAGAACTGACACTGATAGGAGCTGTCAATCAACACAATATGTTGGCTCTGATCCGACTGAGTCTGTGTCTCTGTCTGAGGATGTCCGTTCTGCACCGTCTCCCCTCTGCTGTCCTCTGGATCAGGTCCAACGTCAGACACATTCTCCTCCAGGTTGGCAGAACTTTCTGTAGTAAAAGCTTGTATTTACTGTGAGGAACTAAACCTTTAATCTGACACTGAGTCAATTCACCTACTTTCTTTGAACACTAAGATTAACATATATTATTATTTTGATCTTGAAAACACCTGATTTAGTTTGATTTGTATCTTTAGTTTTCATCTTTTTGACAGCAACTTCACACCTTTCCCTTCAAGTTATTGTATTTACATAAATACAAAGTTGTATTTATGTTTATTTGTTATATTGGCTGTTGTCTTTAAGTTTTTATAAAATTCTAAAATGTTCTTACACATTTACCTGACTGTGTCACCTCCTCTTAGGGTGACGGGCAAATCGAGAGAAAGCGAGAGAGAGAGAGAGAGAGAGAAGCGGACTCTCCATATCTTCTTCCTCCTCCTCCTGCTGCTGCTCCTCCTCCCCTCCAACTCCACCTCCGTCCTCACTGAACGACACTGGCACCACCTTCACCGTTACTGGTAATCTTGAGACCGTGTTGGCAGCACCCATAGGCCACACCTGAAATGTTACTGCATTAGTTACTGTAACTGTGAAGCTGGGTGAAATGATATCTCAGGGATTGATTTAGAGTTTGTTGCAAAAGCAAAATGCCTTAAGAGTTAAAGTATGAGGTCAAAGAAACTTAATGCAACCTTGTGTGTCTGCATGTGTTTCTTCACGTTGGACTTCTGTGCGAAAGCTCGGCCACAGACGATACACTGGAAGGGCTTCTCTCCTGTGTGGCTGTAAAAAAAAGTTTTATGTTACTGTGTCATGACTGTCCTTTTACAAGGTCACTCTTTAATGGCTACAGTCTTTCACTCTGATCTAGAACTCACCTTCTAATGTGCTGCTGAAGATCAAAGTTTTTAGAGAAGACTTTATCACAGAAATTGCACTTTAACTTTGGCCCCTTTCCCTTCAGCTGCTCTGCTGTGAGTTGAAATTCAGAAAAAGTATGAAATAGTTGTCCAGAAATAATATAACTGTTCAAGTCCGTTAAGGATGCATCCATATTGGGCCTGATCATAAAATTCCCCACAAAGCTGTAGCATAAAACATGATCTTCCAGTTTACTGCACATATACTTAAAACCCAACCTCAAGATATTTTAGTATTTTTTTGTAAATTAAGTACATTTATAGTGTGGGCAAGTAAACAAATGAAAATACTTAGACTCATATGGTTAGTATAAAAATGTTTCAGGATAAAACTAAACTCACAAGTCACTGTAAACTCTATTTTAGAGTGTTTGGACCAAAAACATAAAGAGTTTTGGTCCAAACACATGAGCAAATCAAGTTTTCCTTCACAAACCTGTGGCTGCGTCTGAGCTTTTTTTGCTGCTCCTCAGCTTTTTGGAAATTATAACCTTTTCAAAATCACAGCCCTGCTCTGTCAGATTGCTGGTGATGCTGCAGATCTTTGTTTTGGTTCCCTGTTTCCCAGGGCTGTAGACGGGAGGGGTAGTAAAGGACTGACTCTCCACACACTGGCTGGGCACCTGAGGAACACAAAAAAACGAACGCTAAAAAGAAAGTCTTGGGAATTTGGGGAACAATTGTTTGGTTACTTTTAAATTTAGATGACACAGCCTTCTATGATGTAAGAGATTGTTGTCAAATGTTCTCCAGTTGTTATAAATTGACCTTGAACCTTGATGTTCTCTAAAGCTATTATTCTTTTAGAACATTTTTATTTTCAAGTACACTGTTGGATGCTGAGATATTAACCAATCATCAGGCCTCACTTACTTGTACTGGATGGTAAGGCTGCAAACCCAGGGTGTGGATCTCTGGTCCACCACCACCACCAACTCCCCCTCCATTTCCTCCCCCTCCCCCTCCTTCTCCTGCCATATGAGGCAGAGCACTGTAAACCTGAACCACAGAATTACTGTGACTCACAGCTACTTGAGAGGAGAGTGACTGCTGTCCCGGCTGTGCAGACGGAAGAGAGTGGGCAGGTGTTTGACCTGGAGGGAGAGGGTGGGAGGAAGGAGGCTGTGGCTGTTGGTGATGATGATGATGGTGGTGGTGGTGGTGCTGAAGATAAGAGACCCCTGATGTGTGCATACTTAGGTTACTCTGCAAAATAAAGCCAATAAATATGATAAGAAAAAATAAAATATTAAATTATCCAAGCCTATTCTCAGTGCTTTTTGCTTATTCTATTCAATACTTTATTAAGAAAAATGTGACTTCCCTTGTTTACCTGAATAGGTGTCTGCATGCTGGACATGGGCTGGTCGATGGACGTAAAGGCTGAGATGGCCGACATGAGGACTTCATCACTGACCAGCACGTTGCCTTGAACCAGAGTGTGTGTTAGTGGTGAGGGCGGTACAGTGATGTAGGTGGATACCTGGTGTACAATTGCACATGATACAGAATGGAAATATCAGTTTACATCACCCAGAAAAAAAACTATTTCACTTGAGGAGTGTAGAGTGATGAGTCAAATGATAAACCTCAATGTTGGGCTAAATAAGAATACTGTATCAATGACATATATCTCAAAAATGTGTGTTTACAAACTCCAGGCATAGCCTAAAGTTTATAGTCAGCGCTCGTCTACATTTAAACACCACATGCATGTTTTCACCTGTCTGTTTGCAGGAGCCTGGGGTACGGAGCTGATTGATGGCACTGGTGTGTAAGCATTAGTGGAAGCCAAGGACACTGTGGAGAGTGAGGGGGCATTGGACTGACACTGTTCCCTCTTGTGTGTCATGAAGGCTGGCAGAGAGTTAAACTGTTTTTTACACTTTCCACAGAGGAACACGTCTTCATCATCTGCAGGAAGAATAAACACACACAGGGTTGACGTGATCACTGTCGGAGGGTAAGAGCACCACGCCAACTTTAAAACTGTTATATGACACACATGTCATTCAAGAAACTTTGGTTTAGATGATTTTTTTATATTAGTATGTATGCATTGAATAATGCAGGTGCTAATGGTAGTGTAGCTGTTATTACCTCCATATATGATAGTTTGAAGAGTACGTTGTAAGTAAGTTGAAAACGTCAATGATTGTGTGGTTTTCAAAAGGT